CCACACTTGTGTCAGTAAGCTTGTGTAAAGTGTGTAATGCTCGAACTCACACCATATTGTTTTACAGTTCCTTTCAGGGGTGTTTATAGCGCTATTCCCGTTTAGGTTAACAAGACTATCTTTATACGCATTTTCTGTGCAATCTACGTTGCAATAAAGCACTGTCCCTACCTTCATACACCACATTAACTATACCTGTCACGTACAAAGCAGTTTTAGCTTTAACTTTAGCCCCTTTGTTAGTTTATCTACAAACCCTTTCGGAATCCAGGTGCAATGAATGAAGTGCAGTTGGTACAAATTCTAATATACGTGGTTTACCCCGGAGCTTTAGATAGCAATTAACATATCGTCACTGGTGGTGATCAAAAGAACAATAAGTGAACAGAAGGAAATAAACGTTTACTGGGGCGAACTTGTGCCCAAAACAGAAAGAAAACAGTCGATAACAACAGAGCTTCGCGGGCGTCGAAGTCGGCGTAACAGCAGGATCGAGCGCAGGGGCGAGAATGACTGCGTCTCCGCCACGCAGTCATTCTCACGCGTGTAGAAAATGGACTTTGTCCCTTTTCTACACGCGTGGGCTTCTAGAACAATCGGTGTAGAAGGTTCGACGCGTAGAACATCCTAACCTCGAATCAGCAACACGGTTCTCGAATTTACCAGAACATGACATTACAGGGTCAACAAAAATGTGTAACCGCGGCCAGGCATCGAACCTTGGTTTTTTGCGTTGAAGACAAGCGCGACAACCGTTAGGCCACAAGCGCGCTGCCTACTTGGTCAGTTGTGCGCGCGGCAATATATCTTCAGAATTTTAAAAATTAGCTCCTATATGATTGAAAGCAAATATATAAATAGTTGAAATGAAGTCACTGTTTTTCCGCATTGTACCATAAACATGTCGACTTTGCATGGCAAATTCATTCCCGAAGTCCCTCAAGCAAAGCTGGCTTCAACAGTAACCATAACTGCTATGGTGGCCTTGCTCGCGGTACTCCAAGAACCAGCCAGAGAGGCTCCAACTTGCAATCACTCATTGCTATTGTCCGGACAAGCGCAACACAGCCCCACAGCCCTTATATACACCGGCCACGTCCAGCCTCGAACCACCCAACAGTCTTCCACTTGTTCGCATTTCGTTGTTTCATTCGTCGAGGCGATCAAGGGCGAGGCCCCAGTACGGCGTAGCCCCTTCGTTCCCAAGCAAAGCGCCCCATTGTTTGCAGACGATGGAGTCTGCGGAGGCCCAGGACAGCGGGCGTCGTGTTGCCGAGACCCAGTCTGCGTCGAACGCCCTTCGGCAACGTTCCACCTTGGAAGACAAAGCCGACGACCTCGCCGCTCGCTGCTCGGACGTAATCGTAATCGTCGCAGCGGGCGCGTTGCCCACTCGGTGCCTCGAGGCCCTCTTGACCACGGTCGCCCAAAAGGGGTCGACAGAGCGGAGGTGCCTAATTGTGGTTGCTTTGGGCGGTCGGCGATTACGTAAACGTTACGTAGATGCTTTATCAGTTTTTTGGCACCGATCTCACTCTAGCTCTCGTTTTGTAACGGTCGCCTAGAGTCTAAAAAGGATGGAGCAATTTGGTTCATCAAAGTGGACATTTAGTACGGTGAAACCTCGAAAAAGAGAATATGCTGAAAAGGAAACGGGGTAATCACGAGGCTCGGGAACCTTGACGTGTTTTATTCGTCTTCTCTCTATTCTAAGTTTTGGACCTTCACAATGCTGAAAATTAACCGGCCTGCAGGTGTTAAGGCGTCCTAAAACAATAAGTGGACGACGCCAAAACGTTAAGGAAGTTTCATCATCATTACCTCTTTGCTACGCAAAAAAGGCCGCCGTGGTCTGCAGTATCCATAGGATACCAATAATACGCGATGACAAGAGAATGCACCAAAAGCCCTAAAAGGACGCAAAATATGATTTAAGAAATCGTAAACTTCTTTGTCTCTTGGTGGTCACGAATAAAAGGTGTAGGACTAAAATAAAATGGTTTAAATGCAGGCCGCTGATAAAGTCCAACTCACTTGATATCAATTTATACACTGTTTAGTTCCAACAATCTGCGATAGTAGATCCGCTTGGTCTGTCTAGACTGCGGTGAATGCGCAAAGTTTCCATTGTCTAACCTTTATTTTGATTTTTATAAGGAACACCGAAAGAATAAGAAACTTGTGGGACGATGCACGATGTACAGTTTCTTGAAACTGTACGGATCGCCCACCTGTGTCTTTTTAAATACTTTTAGCAAACTGTTACCATGTTCCGAGTAACGGTAACGGTTTGCTAAAAGTCCCTATTTTTTAAGTGTTCAGCCACCACGCTCGTGAGTCTGTATTGCTTTTCTTCGTGTACAAGAATTTGTTTTTCCTACAACAAGAACATTGATTCAACCTCGTTTAAAAAATGAGATTTATATCTGGTGAGAAAAACTGCATGGTCTTTGTTCCAGACCATATGACCTCTGGGCCAGAAACCCCGAAGGACTAAGTGGTTCATAGAAAAAAAAGAAATTCAGATATAAGCTCCTCGCAAATCAGTGTCTACTCCAGAAACACTCATATATTCTTGGAGGTTGTTGAATTAAATGTTACAGAGTTCAACTGGATAAATGTCCTACTGAAACAAATACCCCCAGCCACGATTAACTTAATTGAATTCTTGGTAAAACATTGCAACCTGTCTTATGTGCTTTTTTGTTTTTTTTCTATGTTAGCTTAAAAATTAGGCAGATAGCCCTGATCAGGGTACTTGTTGAAACCAAAAACAATACATTTTTAAGTAACTCCAACAACAGAACATAACATATAAATATATATTTAAAAAAACATTGATCTTTTGAAAGTGGTACTGGCATGAAGTCATTAAAAGGCGGATATTTAACACAAATGTGTTATAGACAGAGAGTATGTATGAACACTCGTCCTCGTCAACAGTACACTATATACTTAAGGTCCTTTGTTTTTGGGCGTTTTATAATATTTACAGACCAAACATGGCTCTCTTTTCTTTCTTTTTTTTTTTTTTTTAATTGGGGGGAACTTGATTTTCGCCGAAATTCAGGAATTGAATTCCACCATTTTCCGAATTACTCTGCTCCAAAAATATATTGTAAGAAGCAAAGGGTCGCAAGGAGCACATGCGTTAGTTGCAGACCTCGGAAACAAATCTAGATTGTGTTGGTGTCCGTTAAAAGAAGTGGCACAAATCAAGTCCCAAAATGGAGCTTTTATGTCTATTGTGAAGTATACGTAGCCCTTATTTTATTTCTGGTTCATCCAGTTGAAAACACAAAAAAAAAACAGGATGAAAAACAACTTTCAACATTTTGTTTGCAAAAACAGAACCGGTTTTTTGCTTCTGTCAAACTGAAGTAATATTACTGTGCATTGAAAATGCCAAAGGGTAAACTGTGATATAGAGAGTATGTTCTTTCAATTTAAATATGTTCAATAATCAAAGAGGACTAGGATTGATGTCGAGATGCTCCACTTGCAGAAGATTATGTAACAAGGATTATAAGAAAGCAAAAATTCAAAATCATCTCTTCTATAAAGTTCCACTGCTATCTTGTGTACTTTAGTGACTTGGTTGTGATATTGATTTAAACAGACCAATGTTATTTATTGTCAGTTATGCTTTTATCTTTGCAAATAGAACCGAAAACACTTGAATCCCAGGATATCTGTATATTTTTGTAAATACCATTTCTCCCCGATTACCATTTTGAAGTATAGCTTTTCCAATTTAAAAAAAAAAATCCCTAGAATAAAAGGAGCCTATATATACTGTAGATTGATGATCAAAACACGGAAACACAAAACAAGCTTAATTGCACAAATTTCAATAAAAATGGCTTTATAGAAAAAGAAACACACCGCTACTGAGTTTCACAACCAATCGCAGTGTGTTTCTTAATTAATTGTGAATTAAACGAACACTTATGCTAACCCTACTTTTCCGTCAGATATCGTAAAAGCTCATTAATGTCGTTGCTTTAGAATGATAAAGTGTAAACGACATAAATTTAAATGGTGAGAAGATTAAACAAAGCTTCTAGGAATTTCAATCTGTAATTGTAGCAAATGCTTTCGGGCTTCACAACATAAACGTACAAACATACAAACTGTGTACGTAAGAGTGCCTTTCGTATACTGATACAATTAATGTCAAGCTGCAACCGGTCAAGGGAAGCCCTTGACCACGCACCAACCTCTTTCATCCTACTGCCGTTTGCGCACGGGCAAAGACATTGTTCATATTCGATTTTAATTGGCGGTGGACAGAGACAGGCTCAACTAAACAATGCATAAACGCGGAATCGACACCTCCATCCAAACACAACAACAACCACCCACATGCTGTCACCGACCCTTTTAACACCCTTTCCCTTCTATTACGCGAGCCCGCTCGAACCGAAAACAAGTGTCCACGTCGAAAGCACCTTTCAAATTATCAAGCTTGGGGCTACCAGACTTCCCGCCGCCTTACTCATTTTTACCATTTTGTTTTCTTTCTTACACGTGCGTGTTTGTGTATGCGTTTATATTGGGCGAACCCTTCAGCAAACCTGCCTTCCGATAACCCTGGAAGGTAAGACGGCAAATCGGCGCAAATCATCCGCTTGTTCCAGGAGCTGCCAGGTCTGCCCCGAGGGCTATTCACAATGGAAACAAAGGAATGCGCCAAGAGATCGAGTTGACAACCAAAAACAAAAAAAAACAAAAAAAAACGATACCAAATAAGGGGCACTGTCCAAGAAATTCGGTTCTGATCGACACCTTTGTAGTTTGTTTATGTTGTTATACAGCTTTTTCTTGTCGATATCGGAGCAAAGTGCCTGTCCTTCCATTCCAAGAGTCACGCCCGGCCCAGGAGCGTTGGTCTCGAAGGCGTGCCTCAAGACTTTTCTTGGCAGGGGTATAAATACGTTGCACGGACAATCCGGAAGTCATACTTGAACTGTTACCCACACAGCAAGAGATCGAGAATCATGCAGGCTCTGGTAAGTTCTCATATCAAAACCACTGTCCTCGCCTTATCTTCCTCGTATCCAGAGCGCGACAATGCTTGTCGAATGAAGCTATTGTCATCCTACTCGAATCGGCTTAAGAAAAGCAACCTAGATTATTGTGTTGATGCATTAAACATATCATCCAGCTACTGAACTCTCCTGCGATCTCCACAACATCGAGTCATAGTTATGGGAGATCGGTGGCCGAGTGTGTTAATGCAGCGCAGCTGAGAGCATGTGTGGTGAAACTCGCGCTGCAGAATCCAGGGACCCTGAGTTCAGTTTCCACCCCTGCCTGTTTCAATCTGAAAGAGCATCGTACTGGCATGCGGTCGTGTATCACTACTTTTGATGAAAGTTAAAGACCCCAGGCAAGCAGCGGTATTGCATTTGCGAAGTTTTTCCTCTACAGTGGTGACACCAGGCGCCCACTGAGGTTCACCAAATTCCCGTTGTCTAAACGTAGACTCAACGCATTGACTTTACTTTATAAATGCATCACCTAGAAGCCTCAGGCTCTGAACAACTACAGGCGAGATGTATATTCGAAAAAATGTTAGACTCGTCATGACCTTGAAGGAATCAACCAAACCAACCTTAACTGTCACTTTTTTGTGTGTGTGTCAATTCATCGCAGACCGCTGCCCTCTTCCTCGGCCTTGTGGCCTTCGCTGCCGCTGGCTTCATCGGCCACGGTTACGGCCACGGCCACGGACACGGCCACGTCGTCGTCGCTAACTCCGCCGTCACGCATTCTATCACCCCTGCTGCTCATGGCGGATTTGGCCACGGTGGGTGCGGCGGTCACGGCTGCGGCGGTCACGGTGGATACGGTGGCTACGGACACGGAGGTTACGGTCACGGTGGACTCGTTGTCCTCGCGGGCCACGGCGGCTACGGCCACGGCGGCTACGGCCATGGCTTCGGGCATGGCTTCGGTCACGGAGGTCTTCTTCTCGGAGGCTTCGGCTACGGTCATGGACATGGCTACCATGGTTAAATTGTAAGTGCCAATGTTTCATACTGCAAAGTCACTTAATTTCCGTCAGACTTCCGAAACCATTTTGCGAATAGGTCGAACTATAGGGGGCCGCTTTGTTCAGCTTCTTTTCCACGGAGCTGGGAGCTTACCAAACACAAGGCCCATGGACTGGATTCTTTGCGGCACTTTTCTCGATCTAGAGCGGGACACAGATTGAACACAAACGGTGCATCAACGTTCGGCTCCTTCTGCCCAGCACTGCGTAAGAAACACGAACAGACTAGTCACGCCGTTGTTGTCCCCGTGGATTTAATTCTCAACTTAGCCGCCACGGGCGCAACGGTTAGATTTACTTTCCAACTCTGTTTCACAACAAAGAGTTTTAGTAGATCGTTCCGATGGCTCCGGTAATGATACCCGATACCCCGCCACAGTTTTTGCGCATTCTATGTACGTAATTGGCAAAACCGATGGTAGCAAACGCACAAAGGCGACGAGTGCGGTGACCATGCACTTTTTGGAAGTGTTTGAGTGGCTCCATCGGGCCATATAGCGTCGGCTGCGCGCGGACTCGGTGTGGAATAGGGTATACCAAGATTTTTCTCACTCACGCGCGATGGCGTCTCCGTAAATCTATAGCCTCGTAATGGGGGCGTAAAAGGTGGCTACGTGAATGGAGCTTTAGATCATTGCACGCGCTCTGCGTGTTTTCAGATTCATCAATTTGTAGAACCGATCGTGAAATAAAACTTGTTGCGAATCGAAAGAAACAACAAGGCTTAAATGACAGTCAAATAAATCATGTTGTTGGATGTACACTTGCCCAGAAGACCTTGAGTTATCTGGTACAAATCAACAAACTCCATCGTTTCTTTTTTTTTTTTCTTTTTAGGCATTGAAAGGTGTTTTTTGTTATCCTGTGCGGAATTGAAAAAGGTGCACCAAAAAGCCTTATTTCAAAAACACAATTAAATTGGCTTGTAAACTCCCCCCCCCCCCCCCCCCCCCCCCAAAAAAAAAAAAAACAGTGCAATCATCCACAATTCGCTGTGGAAAGTCGTCATTCAGAATAATGTGTCGATAATATTAAAATTGGCGCTTGGGATAATAGTTGCGTGTTAGTTTCTTTCGACAATGAGGCATATCGTCTTTAAAATCGGATATAGTCAGATACACAAAAAGCTAGCAAACAACCTTTAAAGTTAAGTTTCTGATTTTAATCCAGAGCGAAAAGTTAACGTTTAGTGCTATTTCGTGTACGTCTTACTGTTCAGCCAAATTCTCGTGCAACAATCGCGTCCGTATTGTTATTGCACTTTCAGCTACAACTAATCGCATATCTCTTAAATAGTAATCGTTAGCAACATTTAAATGCTTCATTGTTACCAACTCCTCACAAACGAGCATGTTTATGAAGGAACAGCTTTAAAAAAACCACTGAGGTGCCAGAAACTCTTTATTTATGGTTAAAAAAAAATGTTTGTTGCGTTCCTGGAGCTTGGTCAGAAGGTATACTAACCCTTCTGTTGCTTTTTCTTCTATCTTTCAGACTGCTTCCCTAGAAAAGGATCTGAATGCGGAGACCAACTAAGGACCGGAAAACTGTTATTTAATAATGTTTGAAAAGAGTGTTTAATAAAAGAGTATTTCTTAGCCCCCTGTGTCCGCCATCATTTCTCGCAGGACGTTCACTATATTCCCCTTCGTCATTTTTATGCGCCCATCTAGTGTAAAATTGAACAAATAAGGTGCCATAGTTTCAACACGAAACAAATAAAATTTCAAAAGACGTTTTCTAAACTTTTAGGTGATAGAATGACCACCAGTAGAGGCCGGGATAGACAAAAGCAGCGCCTGAACGTAAGAACCTCGATTTTTTTATTTTAAGTAAAGTGCGTTCTAAAATTATTAAAAATTTATTTCACCGCAAAAAAAAAAAATAATAATGAACTACACTTCGCCGGATGCCCAAATTTACGCCAAGATGTAGCGCAAAACGTCTGAGCTGGAGGTCAAAGTTTCAAAGCTAACCGTTGTCTCATTCAAAAATTATAAGTGAATTTCTAAAAATTCCAATGGTGAAATGGCAGGGGCCCGTTCTCGATGACTGGCGCCATCCAGCTCCACGTATTCACGAGCTCCGTCGGCTGCCATTTTCCAAATAAAAATTTCAAAATAATCACGGCACTTTTGAATAATATAACGATTAGTTACGAAACATTGGCACAGTATTCGGACAGCTAGCACTACATTTGAGAAGGGAATGAGCGGTCGCGATGAGTAGTTTATTTATTTATAAAACAAACTGTGTGTCTTGTTTGTTTGTTTGTTTGTTTGTTTGTTTGTTTGTTTGTTTGTTTGTTTGTTTGGGGGAAAGGGGGCGGTTTGTATATTCTAATAGTGAATGTTACATTGAAAAAAAAAATTTAAGGCGTAGTATACCTCTCTATATCAACAACCAGGCACGTAGCCATGGGGGGGGGGGGGGGGGGGGGGGGGGGGGGGGGCGGGGGGGGCATGAGGTTTGCCCCCCCCCCCCTCCCCCCGAAATCTTCTATTTTGCTGGGGCCTCCTCTCCCCCCTACCCCTCATACAGCATTTTTTCATGGGCGGGGCCTCCCCCCGCCCCCGAAACAAAATCCTGGCTACGTGCCTGCTGTGATTTGTAAATTAGGTTGCTAAAGTCGGATTGAACCGCTTTTGAGGCAAACAAGTGGCTCGAAATTTCGCCGGAGCTCTTGAAACTTCTGCCAGTGAAAGCCGTAGTAGCGTAAACTTCGTTTCACTATGAATGTGAATGAACCAGAGGAAATTAGCCGGCAGCGTTCGGAGACCGTGGGGTGCTGTCAGATTTCGAACGGAGCTGCAGACCGCCCAAGTATACCTTTTGGATGCCGACCAGCAGGGAGGCGTGCTCTTCGTTCACATCCATGCCGCTGTAGAGGAGGTCTGCGAGGGGCGTCACGTCCGGGACCGACTTGAGGGGCACTTGGGACAGCGGCAGGAGGTCGCAAAAGGCCGTCTCGTCCGCGAGGCTCACTCCGCCGTCCTCCTAGCCCGCATTCACCTCCAGGTGGAACGCGCTGCCACAGGAACTAGGGTAACTGTATAGGCTCTGCTTGCAGAGCCAGAGTATCGCGTTCCTTTTCCTTTCGCCGCCATTTTCGGATTGGCGGAGGAGTGGTCACGTGAGCAGAACTGGATCCGACCTTCGTGCGGGAAAGCGGCCTTCCAGAGCGCCGAGTTTCGGGGAGCATATTTTCCGCTTTGAGTTCGCAAAATGTAGATCCTATAGACTAAAATGCGAACAAACCGAAAGCTTCCTAAGTCATGGGACATTATGTGAATCAACTGGGTACGGAACAATCCCGTTTTTTTATAACGCGAGCGATGTTTGAGGACATCCGTCTCCAAGGTATGGGAAACAGACGACACGGACGACGATCGCGTTGCTCGCGTCTGCGGCTCTCGCGGAGTGATACGCGATACGCGATTGGCACATCCGGCCATCTTGGCGAGTCGGGGAGCTCTCGTCCGAAAGCGAGGGGACGGCGTTTTCGTCAGTCGCTGCGTTATTTAGTGCAATGAATTGACGAATTAACACGCGACCCACAGGAGCTGCGGGTGCGATTTTTGCAATCGAGAGGTAAACAGGAAACGACAGGAGAACGATGACGGTGCATGCCGCCTCGCATCTGCGCCTTCGCGTCCCCTGCAAAATCCAACCGTGGCTTCCCGCAGTACTTGGCTCCAGAATGACACCATTGCGGTACTCTGCTCCGCAAGCGGAGCATATACACTTACTCTAACAGGAACGAACGGCGCAATCAGTGACGGGGAGAATGGCGGGGCGCCACGTCTCTAATGAACGCCCGGCCTCGCGCTCTATGTCGCCCGCTCGTTGACGCTTGCTAGGTTATCAGAAGCGATGGAACATCTGGAACATGGATGGCACATTACCCGCGGTGGAAAGTAGTTCTCTTGATGTTTTTAGAGCGGAGCTGCTAAGGGCTAGTTTCCCCAGGATCGTGTTTCCCCCAAAGAAATGAAGACACCGAATTCTGGACACCTACCGCCATCTATGAGCGACGGCGGCAAGCCACATAACTGGTGGCCGCCATCGTTCATAGATGACGGCAGCCTTTCCACTCTGTCTTGCCGATTTGCGGCCGGCCATTACATTCGATTGTACAGCTCCGCTGGTCTTCCTTCTTCACCAAAGTGGAAAGGCTGGAAGTTTTTTCTGGTGAACACAAACGCCTCAGCGTGCATTGAGTCCTTGACCATGGAAGCTGGGGCGGAACTGCTGGTGCAAAGATGCGTACAAATAGATAACCGAACCTAGAAAAGCACTCAAACTGTTTTTTTAAAGGGGGGGGGGGGGGGGGGAGCCATATATTGCTCTACATTCGTTGCATCTTTCTAAACCAGATGATTTAACTGTTTTTGATAATGCCCAGAAAGTTTCTATTTTGAACCATAACTTTAAATGTACTAACATAAGGAGTTAATTATTCGAAAGTAACTAATAACCTAATGATACCGAATGTTATTATTTTCCCAAATAGGCCTTTTGGCAGAGGCCAACGCGACATCAACCTTTTTTTAGTGCGGTGCTTGCTTGCAAAGATGCTTTGGCCCGCGTTTTGAGGAACACCTGGTATAAATATTACATACCAAGATTCAGTAATTGCAGTCAGCAGGCCTATGACTTTCGGTAAACAAACAAGAAAAACTTGTTAGACGGCAAGATACAACAAAAATGGGGCTACATAACATTAAAAAAATATATTTTTTGTTTTACCACTAGAATAACAATATATTCAGAAAAACTGATAGTGAACAACACGTAAAACCCCATTGACACCAGGCTCCAGATCAAGCTCAATTTCAATGCAGACAAGAATGTCTCATTCTATTAAGATTTAGACTCTTCAAATCCAGACTGTCCAAGG